ATGGGGAGGACTGGGGTGGCTCTGCGGGCTCCTCTCCTGCAGCCCCCCGATTGACCCCACTCCACGGATGGCAGCCTGCGGCAAGTGCAGCCGGGCTGATGGCCGAGTGCTGTGATGTGCCGAGTGTGGGCATTCAGGGCACTCCAAGCCAGGACTGCTTTGCTGTCCCTCATCGAGTTAGACAAGCGAGCGGGGAACCCCTGAGAACTGTCTGTCCGGTTGGTCGTGTCCCTTTAAGCACAATCCCTCGGCTAGCCTGAGACAGCAGCTCCACGCTCTAAGTCCTAATCTGATGCCCTGCCGGCACTGCTTCCGGCCATCCTTAACCTCAGTTCAGGGTCCACTCAATGTGGACATGCTAGTTCGAATTAGCAAAATGCTAATTCAAACTAGTTTTTAGGTCTAGATGCACTAGTTCGAATTAGCTTAGTTCGAATTAACTAATTTGAACTAAGTTAGTTCGAATTAGTGCTGTAGTGTAGACATACCCTAAGATATTTAATATACCTTCATAACCAATATTTCAATTATTAGTATATTCATAAATGTATATTGTCTCATTTCCTTATTTTTCCTGTCCTATTATTATTTTATGATTATAATTTATTCATGATGATAATTCTTTCAGAACTATTTACTTATGTGATCTTTGTGACTACCTATAGGACTTTATATGAGATCTAGTATATGTATTTTGGATACTTAAAGTTTATATATTTATAACTAGAAGACTTACTTGGCATTGCTCAGGTCCTTCAGGGCAGGGGGCTTGAAGGTATGGGGGTTCTGGGTAAGGTCTGGGGGTGCAGGAGGAGTGGGCGTCAGGACAGGGGTCTCAGAGCTAGGGACTGAGAGGTAAGTGGGGGAGGGGGGTGGGATACCGTGAAGACACACAAGGAGGAAAGAGCAACAAAGGAGGACCCTTGAATCAAATGGAGAAGCTACGGCAATCAAGTAGTTATCTAAGGTGTTTGTACATGAATGTAAGAAGCTTGGGAAACAAACAGGAAGCATTAGAAGCCCAAGCACAGTCAAAGAACTATGATTTGATTGGAATAATAGAGACTTGGTGGGATGACTCACATGACTGGAGCACTGTCATGGAAGGGCATAAACTGTTCAGGAAGGACAGGCAGGGGAGTAAAGGAGGAGGAGTTGCACTGGATGTAAGGCTACGTCTAGACTGCAGGCTTATTTCGGAAGAAGCTTTTTTCAGAAGAGGTCTTCTGAAAAAACTTCTTCCAAAAGAGAGTGTCCACACACAAAAGTGCATCAAAAAAGTGATGCGCTTTTTCGAAAGAGAGCATCCAGACTGATTGGACGCTTCTGAGTGCTGGTGCCAGAGCCTTGAAGAGACACACGCTTGAAGAAACCCCCTTGGACAGCTGTTTCTCTGCTTCTACTGTGTGCTTACTACCTCTTTGAGGGACAGCAAAGCTCGTGCAATGCCTGCAGTGGTTGCCCTGCTTTTGTGGATGCCACAGCTTTTTCCTTCATGCCATGGAACCGGAGCTATCCCTGGGCATGCAATGGTCCCACGTGGCCATGTTGCAGTTTTTGCAGTACTTTGTGCCAGCTGCCTTCCTGAGCCTGACTGAGCTGGACCCCGAGCTCATTTGAGGGACCCTCTCCCTGGGTGCAGGAGCTCCACTTTGGCAACTGCATCCCATTGCGGAGAGGCGTTTCTGGAGGCTCAACACCAGTTTCAACTGGTGGGACCAGCTCGTCATGGAGCGGTGGGACGACTAGTAGTGGCTCCGAAACTTTCACATGCTGAAGGCCATCTTTTTGGAACTATGTGCCTGGTTCACCCCCAAACTCTGGGGATGTGACACCCACCTGCGGCTCGCCATTCCCTTGGAGAAGCGGGTCACAAATGCCCTCTGGAAGCTTGCCACTCCCAACAGCTACCAGTTGATGGGCAACCAGTTTGACCTGGTGAAGTCTACCATCTGGTCCTCCTCATGGAAGTAAGGCACTTTCGGGCTGCAGTCCCTGCACGGGGGGGGGGAGGGGGGGATCCTCAGGAAAGGGGGGCTGTGAGGAGTGCAGTGGGGGTGTGGGCGAAGCCCCATTCTGCTGCAGGGCAGCCTTATATGGGGTGGTTCCTGGGGTGTTTGAGTGGGGGAGGGATGGAAGTGGAATGGGTGCCTCCCAAGGGCTCAGCACTCCCTCTCTCATTCTCTGTTTTGTGGGAGGGTGGGGGGTTGTCTCCTGCAGGTGGTGAGCACCGACAACCTGATCCTGCTGCAGAGGGTCATCTGCCTAGGAGACCTGGATGCAATCATGGCCAGATTTCCTGCCCTGGGGTTTCTGAACTGCAGTGGAGCAATTGATGGGATCCACATACATGTGGCCTAATACATAAATCACAAGGACTACTTCTCAATGGTGCTGCAGGCCGTGGTTGACCACCGTGGACAGTTCAGAGACATTTTTGTCAGTTGGTTGGGTAGGGCACACTCAAGCCTGTACAGGAAGCTAGAGGCAGGCACATTTTTCCCCCGCCATCCCTAGAGGTTTTTAAGTCCCAGCTTGACTGAGGCCTGGCTGGGATGATTCTGGTTGCTCCTGCTTTGGGCAGGGGGCTGGACTTGATGACCTTCAGAAGTCTCTTCCAGCCCTAGGATTCTATGATTCTAAGATTCTATGTTCCTCCTAAAGGGGCTCGAGCTGCAGTCCTGGTCTCAGCCCCTGAAAATGTTCCTTTGGAGAAGGCAGCTGGTGCTACTTGGGGGGAAGCAATCCTTCCCATCCCTCAGCAATGACCTCCAGATTGGCAGCTTTGTTGGCTGGCAGGGCGGCGGGGGAGCAGGCCCCTCTGCTTCCTCCCCCCTCCCCCAATTCTGCAAGGTACCAAGTACTGTTAACTTCCATTGAACACTCATCACCTCACAGTGGCACTCTACTCCTTACTGACACCCACATGCTGTAACCACACAGGCAGAATACAGAAAGGTGTATGCTTTATGAAATCATAGAATATTTTGATTGGATGGTGGTGACCTCAGGAGGTCACTCAGTCCAACCCCTTGCTAAAAACAGG